GACGCGCAGCTAGAGGGGCTATGCCAGCCCACTGCCCCCCCTGCCCCCACCGCCATGGTAAGCAGTGGGTGCCCGTAGGCTCTGAGGCCACCAGCTACGAGGATGGGACCACAGGCAACGTGCCAGCGTCAGCTCCCGCCGGGGAGCCACCAACCACATGGGCAGCAGCACTCTTTGGGGCAAAGCCCTTGCCTGGGGCCACGCTCCCAGCAGGGTTACCTTGGGCCGCACGTGACGGAGGAGGCCACCATCCTCTGTCCGCTGCAGGTAGTCTATCCAGCGCTCTCCAATGGTGTAATAGAAGTAGACGTTGCTGCCATCCTCCCCTTCCTCGCTGTAGCAGCTCCCCTCTTCCTCTTCTTCCTCCTCCTCCTCCTCCTCCTGCTCCCCACAGACTGTGGAGCTGACTGGCTCCTGTGCCCCTCGCCCACTGGAGCCATCAGCCTCGGGTCCTGCCCCTGGGCTCCCTTTCCCAGAGCGCTCTGGCTCCCAGGGGCCCGAAACATCCTCCTCCTCAGCCACCACCTACAATACAGGGAGAGGCAGGGTCAGGCCTGTCTGTTGCAGCTCTGCGCCCCAGCTCTCAGGGTGCCCTGGGGGACATGCTGGGGCGCTGAGGGCGCTGCCAGTCAGAGCAATGGCCACAGGAGTACAAGGGCTTCCCTCTGCAGCAGGAAAGAGGGGGTGATGAGCTAAGCAGAGCCAAAGATGGGAAGAGGGGAGCAGACTACTGAGCTAAGGTGCTCTCTGGGGTCACGGGGCAGGGGCAGTAGCCTTTCAGCTACGGCCAAGCATGACCTGGAGACGGGCCACCTCCCAGCCCCACAGGGAAGCACAGCTGCAACGTGGCCAAATTACGCGGCAGCCAACAACTCTGAAACCGAGCAGAAAACACAAACGCTGCAGGAGCATCAGGGGTGCTGAACACCACCAAAGCCGCTAGCACCAGCTCCACCTCTGCACAGCAAGCCATCTCCCTGCCCGCAGCTGGGAACAGCCCTCTGCCCTTCGTTTGTCAAAGCAGGGAGCGGAGCTGCTGCACATGTGGGCTGCCATGCCCCGGCAGGACCCTGGCAGCAGAAAGGAGGCATTTCAGCCTTCAGCAGGGCGCAGAGGTCCCCTCGCCCTCCAGCCAATCTGACCAGGAGCAACGATCACTGGAGAGGTCACGAGTACTCTGTGCCCATCTAATGCCACCTGCAGCCTTCCTCCCCAAAGAAAGCAGCACTGTGAACACCACCACAAAAAAAAAAGAAAAAGCAGAAGCATTCATTAATTACTTGGAGGAAGCAGAACACCACGCCTGTATCACACGGGAATGAGGAACTGTTTTCCAATACACCAATAAAACACCTCAATCAGCAGCCCAGGATAATTTGCACCTAAGAGTCCTAGGGAGTAGTACAGGAGATCACTGGCCCACGGCAATTATTTTTGGTAAATCTTGGAATACAGGAGAAACTGCAAAGACCAGGAGAGTGCGAAAGTTGTGCCAAAACTGACGAAAGCAGGAGAAAAACGAGTCTTTCTTTATATAGCCTGACAAATGGCAATAGAGAGGCCAGTGCAGGATTCAACAAGTAAAAGATAAATGACAGGGACATGTTTTGTACCAGCTGATGAGACTTTATAAAAATAGGTCTTTTCAAATAAAGTTGAGTTTATTCCTTGAAGCGTTACATTTGGTTAAAAAAAGCAATTACATAAATCACATCGAGGAGACGTACTCATACGCTTCTAAGCATCTGACCAGGGCACAGGCCCCTGATGAAAACACTGGCACGCCACAGCCTCCAGTGGGTTGTTGGATGAGATGGCTCAGGTCAGGAAAGAGCCAGCGAACAGATCTCAAAACGGACCTGTTAATGGGAAACCTCACATTTTCTGCTGACGGGCCTAGTGCAAACCCCTAAAGGGGTGTGTGTGGAAAACCACAGTAGTCAATATTTGTTTTATTCATAATATGGAAGTAGATAACATCTTTTCTGGTCACATTTTAAGACTGACACTTGGGTAGGTAGCAGGGACAGGACAGTCACAGGGTGTGATCTGCATCGCTTGGTAAGCCGGGCTCACTCAAACCAAATGCATTTCAGTACACCCAGAGGCAATGTTCTCCATCTAAAGACAGGGAGAGCAGGGCCAGCTAGGCACCAGGGACTGCGCCTCCTGTAAAGCAATCACTGAAAAGGGTTGAGGGGTCGCAATCAGCACCAGCTTCAGGCTCAAAAATCCGAACAGGGAAGAAGCACAAGCAGGAAAGCAGTACTACCCCCTATGCTGCCCTGTACACTCGAGTCCTGCAATGCCCAACCCACGTTTTTAAACAGAATGCTTAAAACTTGAAGATGTTGCTCAGTCTCCTCCCCCAAATGATTCAAGAACTGGAGAAAGTATTTTGTAGGAGAAGAAAAGAAATGGAAAGGTGATTCGGTGACAACACAAAAATACACCTGGGGAAAGAAAAATCCTGCTGCTTTATAGGGCTCCTACCAAGCACTGCAACGTTTATTGCAGTTAGGGCTGGGTTTATTTACATTCAGAAACTAGGCCTCAGTGCACATCTGCCTGAGCGCCTAGCCCTGGACAGATTCCCCAGAGCAGGGGCAGATGGGTCATTTCTTCACACCCCAGTTAGACCAGACCCTGTTTGGCAGCAGGCTTGGAACAGGGCTGGGCTCTCGGGCAGAGAGGCAGTGACCAGAGGAGAGGGCAGGACACAACAGCCCGTCTGGACACACCTTTTCAGGAGGGAGTGCTGAACCCAGGCTTCTCAAGATTCCTCTGGCATCTAGAGCTGGGGGTCACATCTAGGTCTCGGATGATCACAAACCTTGGGACGAAGCTCCTGGGGCAGCACAGGGGCAGAACAGTTGCTGACCTCTCCCAGACAGTAAAACACCTTCCAACAACCATCCTCCCCTGCCCGCACAGCGCGCTCGAGAGCTTGGCAGGGCAGAGCTGCTCTTAGGCGAGTGAATTTCCTCAGCCCCGCAGACAGCCCTGCAGGAAGATGCACTCCTGAAGAAGTCCCCAGAGCCAAGCTGGGTGCGTGCCAGCCCAAGTGGGCAGCGCCCCGGCTGCTGCTCTCTGCAGACACGGCGGACGACAGGGCAGAGAGCTTGGCAAGAGACATGGACTCTGGCCTCCTCAGCTGTCGGTCAGGGGAATTCTCTCTCCACACCCAGTTCTGGCCTCCAGCGATGAACAATTAGTGGAACTTAAGAACTGTCTGCAGCAGACCTACAGATGGCTAGCTGCTCTGGGGCAGGGGAGGCAGCAGGAAGCCACGATGTCCTCTGGGGTCAGAGCATTGTTTCTATCAGGGACACTGGGACAGATGCTTCACAGCGGCCAAAGCAGCTCCCGGCAAGGCTCAGGGGGCCACTGCAGCCTCCGTCAGGACACCACAAAGCCAGCTGGGCCCAGAGTATGTCAGCCTCCCCGTAGCAAGCCACCACCTTACAGGGTTTGCGGAGAGCCTGCTTGGCTGTTTGAAAGGGCGCAGCGTTCCTTGGGCCACCCTGTTCCAGTGCCCAAAGCAGGTATGTCTCCTCCCCCATAAACCTCCTCTGTCCCTCTACCAGCTACCACCTCTCCCAGCGCGAGATCCCCCTCCCCAGTTCCTGCACTGCTGGAGGGAGTATCACCTCCAGACCAGGTAGGCAGGGGAACCCTACTTTTCTTTTCCTACCTGAGGCACGGGAGCTTTACTGTCCCCCTGCAGACCAGGGCTCACCCTCACAGATTCCTCACTGCTTGGCCTCCTCCTGCAAGTCATCCGCTGACTGTTCAGCTCCAAGATGCGGGTGGTGATGCCTTTGACATGGAGAAGATCATCGAGCGAGTTGAAGCCCTTCAGTTCCTGCAAGAAGAGAAGCAAGATTCGATATGGAGCTGAGAAACCCAGGACCAGCCTCAAAGCAGGACCAAGCTTACTCGCACCCTCCTCAGACAGGCTCTCTTTCCTGGCCGGTCCAGACCTACCAGCTTGCATCTCACTTACAACCACCAGCTCCCTTTAGGCCTTCGGGGAAAGAGGGTCGGGGTGCCACAGCAGGGCAATACCTTTGTACTGCAAGTCCTCGCTGCTGCTCCCATCGAAGATAGGGGATGCATTCTGCCCAAAACAGCCCTTCCCGTGTAATCCCTCCCGCTTCCACAGACTTTCCTTGCCCTGAGCAACAACTACAATGCCTGCAAGGAACAGGCAACAGCACCACAGTTACCAGTAACAAGGGGAGTAGCAGCCCAAAAGCAAAGGCTGGAAGCTCGGAAAGGGGAATTGTGCCTTCCAGCTGACTAGCCCCAGGACTGGGAGCATTCCCTGGCCCACACAGTCAGTCTCCCTTGTCTGCAGCTCCAGGGAATGGAAACAGCCCCTGCCTCCTGCAAGGCACACGCAGACACACACACGCACATCTGTATGCAAGGCACTCACCATCCTGCCAAACACCAGCTCCAGCACCGCTCAGCCCTGCTCTCACAACCATGGGCTACCACCCATCGTACCTATGCCCTGCACGGCCTCCAAGCAGCTCCTGCCACGAGCCTGAAGAGCCTAAACCCAACAGGGCTGGCCTGGCTGTTACCAAGGGGGCAGGGTCCCAGGGTGGACAGCATCCACCCTTTCCGGCTAACACAGACATCAGGGCCAAGACAAGGCTCTGAGCATCCTTTCAGATTTGTCGTGCATCATTTTAAGGCACTTCTGCTGCTTCTCCCTTATGAACGGTTTTACCCAAAAGCACAGCTCCAATGATGAACCCCATTTCTGTAAATCTGTCCTCACCTGTTCTCATACCACTATTCTTCTGTTTAAATGGCTCTTGCTCTTCCGCCTCCACAGTGTTTACATTCCTGTGTATTTATAGCTAGTGCCCCTGCCCCTCTCAGCCTCTTTTCCAGGCCCAAAAAAGCCAAGCTCTTCTAGTCTAGCCTTGTCAAGCCAGCCTCCCCTTCACCTGATCTCTCCTACCTCGCTCCTCTGCCTGCTTCAACACCGATGCCACGTTCCAGCCATGACCTCGCCCGTTCTTCATAGTGTTCATGGCAAAAAGGTGGCATTAATCCTCCTGTCTCTGCCAAAAGTGCCATGGCAGATGCAGCCTAAGATCACGCTTACCTTTTTCGTGGCTGTGTCACACTGGCAGCTCAGTCATCCCGTCAGTGACTACCCCAGGCAGGCTTTTCTCCTGCTCTGTCATTTCCAAATGACAGAGCTAAACAGTCAATCAGGGGGGAGCGACAGCATTTCCAGCCCGTCGTGACCGCACCAGTCGGGCTTCCACCCCTCCCTGCTCCTGCCCGTTCCACCCAGGAACTCATTTTTTTCAGCTCTTAGCACGCATCGTCATCTGCCAGCAGCCCCAAGGCTCTGCCCCCAGTCCCAGGGGCGAGAGGCCCGCAGAGCCGGGCGGGCCAGCCTGCAGACG